AAGGACTTTTCCTGTTTTTTGGGCTGTCTTGTGCAGTCCCTTTAAAGTTTGGGCTTTCTGCAAACCCCATTTAAAGGAACTGTGGTCCCTTTCAACAAGGTTTGCAGGGCCATGAATCATGAACCGGTTCACTTCATGAATGAATCTCTCGGTTCAGTTTGTGGTTCGATCACGAACCAACATGAATCACATTTTTCTGCTTTGTGTCCATCCCTAGCTAAGACGGAGCAACAACCTTGTGTGAGAAAGGCAGCCATTAATTGATGTAAACATTTGCAGGCCTAATAGTTGCTGAACAGACCATGTGAAAAGTGTGGGCAAAGTTTGTACAATAGTCTTGGAAATCTTGTGTAACCCTGTGAGTTTGGCCCTCTGTTAGCATTTGGGGGTAAAAGATGTTTTGTCCTCGAGGGGGAGCCAAAGGAGAGTCTTGAGGGGGAAAAGTTCTGAGGGAAATCCGAGGGATGGGGGGGGAGTAGGTGTGAATGCCCTATATCTGTAGGCGTGTATGCGGGTGTCAGGTTAGCTTCGCTTGTAAGGACTTTTCCTGTTTTTTGGGCTGTCTTGTGCAGTCCATTTAAAGTTTGGGCTTTCTGCAAACCCCATTTAAAGGGACTGTGGTCCCTTTCAACAAGGTTTGCAGGGCCATGAATCATGAACCGGTTCACTTCATGAATGAACCTCTCGGTTCAGTTTGTGGTTCGATCGCGAACCAACATGAATCACATTTTTCTGCTTGGTGTCCATCCCTAGCTAAGACGGAGCAACAACCTTGTGTGAGAAAGGCAGCCATTAACTGATGTAAACATTGCAGGCCTAATAGTTGCTGAACAGACCATGTGAAAAGTGTGGGCAAAGTTTGTACAATAGTCTTGGAAATCTTGTGTAACCCTGTGAGTTTGGCCCTCTGTTAGCATTTGGGGGTAAAAGATGTTTTGTCCTCGAGGGGGAGCCAAAGGAGAGTCTTGAGGGGGAAAAGTTCTGAGGGAAAAAAGAGATTTCTGAGGAGAAAAAAGGGAGGCAGAAGCCATTTGGGTCTGAGGACAGAGAAGAGAGTGACCTGAGAAGGACATCTGCAGCAACACAGAAAGCCTGAAAAACAGCGTACAACACCACCACCACCACCACCACCACCACCGAGAGCCAGCCGAGCTGTGAGAGACTTTCCAAAGGCCTCAGAGAAACAGTGAAAGACTCTCGCCACCTCTTTGGTTCCAACTTTAAGTTATGTTGCCTAAGCTTGAATGTCGTATATATGTGTCCTGCTTTGATTCCCCGAGAGCCAGTTTGGTGTAGTGGTTAAGTGTGCGGACTCTAATCTGGGAGAACCAGGTTTGATTCCCCACTCCTCCACTTGCACCTGCTGATGTGACCTTGGGTCAGTCACAAGCTCTGGCACAGCTGTCCTTTAAAAAGAGCAGTTTCTGTCAGAGTTCTCTCAGCCCCACCCACCTCACAGGGTGTCTGTTGTGGGGAGGGGAAGGGAAAAGGAGTTTGTAAGCCGCTCTGAGACACCTTTGGGTAGTGAAGGGCGGGGTATAAATCCAATCTCTTCTTCTTCATCATCATCCCTCTTTATTGAATTAAACCCTACTTGTGGTTTAAGTTCTACTTGTCTTTGGTTATAGGTGATTGAAGGGCCTGGGAATTCTGTTTGAATTTTCTTTTCTGCCTACTGGCCATCCCTCCTCTTAGGAAGTGGACGTCGGAAGGATGGAGGTACCACCACTTTCTTTTTTGAGGGGAGTCACCCCCTCCCCCCTTAACAAACCCAGGGGGAACTGCCAAGTGTACCCAAGTGAGAGAATTCTCGTAACCCATTCCTTCCCAGGTCTTCTTAGGCCCTGGTAACACAGAATTTGCCGCCCAAAAGGCACGAATGTCGGCCGGATTTTCGGGGTGCGATCACACTGCAACATCAGGGAAGCGTAGCGCATCCGTAGCCAACCCGTGGCCAACCTGTGGCATCCCGCTGAAGATGCGGAGTTAAAAAGTACCAAGGAAAGGGCACTAGTATCCGGAAAAAGCGCGGCACAGGGAGGTGTCTGATCGCGGGAGCGTTAGTAGCCCATGGCATCTGGTGCCCGTCCACGTCCCATCACAAACCGGATGTTTTTCGTAAGTGCACGCCACAAACACGAAACTGAAAGCAGTGCTGCTCCATGGAACTGCGCATGCGAACAAATGCGAAATGCTTGTGTGGCATCGCACCACGGCACTTCTTTGCCCCGCTGCAGCATCGCCGTTTGATCGCCAGCTAACAGCCGAAGCACGGAGACTCGGGACCGTGTGATCGGGCTACCACACTTCATTTTGCTCCGGGGCAAACAGCCACACCTCCCCACCGCGTTACCTGGCCCGTGTGACCGGGGCCTTACATACAGAGTTACAATATCCAACAAATTTCTACCCTCAACCAGGGTTGGGGGTGTGTGAAACTGGTGCAATGCATGCAATGCACATAACAGTCTGCAAGGATAGCATTTTTTTGTGTGGGACAGCATCTTCTAGATAAGTGTGGTGACTTCTTCAAATGCCAACCCTATTTTTTAATTTAAGTTCCACTTCAATAGCATTGATCTAATGGGTGCCACCCTGTCCATGCTGTTCATCACATTGACAATGCTTGTATTTCTAACCAAAGCAACACCATTTAATTAGTTTTTCCCCTCAGTGTCTGTATTGATCCGTGGCCTATCTCCTGAACCTCTGAGACATTTTTCACTTTCTAAAGGCTTCTCATGCAGTTTAAGTGTGTCAGACTGTAAACCCTTCTCCTTTAAGTAATGCAAGATAATTTCCTCCGCCGTCTGCTCTCCCTTGAACTGATTAAATAGAGTGGAGAATTCAGTGTTCCCTTTAAGCTGAGTTAGTGTGAGCTAGCTTACAGTTTTTTAGCCTCCGGCTCACACATTTTTGTCTTGGCTCAGGAAGGGTGGCTCCAGAGCAAACTAATGTATGCAGTAGCCGAATCACTCGCTCACAACTTCAATGCCAGTAGCTCACAAAGTAGAATTTTTGTTCACAAGACTCGACAGCTTAGAGGGAGCATTGGTGGAGATGTAATATCTGGCTACCTGAGGGGAGGTGGGGGGAATCCAAGATAAAAATCTGATCTGAACACTATGGCGTCTGCCTAGTCTATACTTCTGTACTTTTTCTAGTGAATCTCTTTGGCTTATCAAATGTGTGGGTCCACGGACGAAAAAACAGTTCTTTGGGATTGCAAGTGTATCACAGATCTCAAAGGGTGTCGCTAAGGGCCAAACTAGATAGAATAGCATCCTCTCGGTTGCCATGAGGAAAGGCACCACTGTGTTAAAATGGCTTCAATGGGCTTGTATCCTGGTGGACTGAGGTGCTCTTTTCCTCCCCCCATGCCTTATCAAGTGCCGAAATGGCTGCCCCCCCCCGTAGCTGTTTTCATACTTGAAGTTGGGAGGGAGAAAAATGCAGCACTGTGGGCCTGATCAGGATCGGGCCCTTTCAGCATTCGAAGTGAGTTTAAAATGGTGGCGGAGTCCTAGCGGTGGACAGGGATGCCAGCCTCCAGGTGGGGCCTGGGGATCCCCTGGAATTACGGCTCATCTCCAGACGACAGAGATCCATTCCCCTGCAGAAAATGGATGCTTTGGAAGATGAACTCTCTGGCATTGGACGCCACTGAGGTCCCTGTCCTCCCCAGGCTCCATCACCAAGTCTCCAGGCATTTCCCAACCTGGATCTGGCAACCCTACCGCCCCATCCCCTACCTGTGACCAGGGAGTTCTGATAAGAGCTGTCCTTGAAAAAGAGCAGTTTCTGTCAAGAGCTCTCTCAGCCCCACCTGGTGGGGTGTCTGTTGTGTCTGTTGCGGGGAGGGGAAGGGAAAGGAGTTTGTAAGCCGCTCTGAGACACCTTTGGGTAGTGAAGGGCGGGGTATAAATCCAATCTCTTCTTCATCATCCAGCAGCTGCGAGTGGAGGAGTGGGGAATCAAACCCGGCTCTCCCAGATTAGAGTCTGCGCACTTAACCACTACACCAAACTGAGATGAATGGAAGTGTTTTGCCATTCCCTCCCTGTGTGCAATGACTCTGGACTTCTGTGGTGGTCCCCCTTCTGTGGTGGTCTCCCATCCAAGTACTAATCCAGGCTGACTCTGCTTAGCTTCAGAGATCTGACAAGATTGGGCTAACCTGGGCCGTCCAAGTTGGTAGCCATGTTGGTCTGAAGCAGTAGGATGTTGTTAGTTACCTCTGTGCTTGAGAGGAGATGAATGGAGCGCAACAGCAAGGTCTCAGTTGATTACTCTCAGCTTTCCACAATGAAGAAGAATACATTTACACGTCAGTCTCCAATTTTTGATAGTTTTATTTGCTTCGCCACGTTTCCCCCACTGAAATTTAATCCTAACAGATGGTGACCATATGAACTTAGCTTGCTGTTCCTGTTTGGTCCTTGAATCTGTTAAAATGGCTTCATTACGTTGTATGCTAATTTGCTGCTCACCCTTTAGCTATATGTATGTATTGGTAACTTCCACCTCAATGTATCTGAAGAAGTGCACATGCACACGGAAGCTCATACCTGTGTCTATTACAACAACTCCCCCCCCAACAAAAACCCCCAACACCATGCAGTCTTGTGGCATCTTAAAGAATAACAGGTCTCTTGCAACATAAGGTTTTGTGGGTAAGAGCCAAATTCCTCAGAGGCATGAAGTGAATTCTCAGCAGGGAAAAAATTGTGAACTGTTGGTTAAATTGTGAACTGTTGGTTTGGGTGAAGAAGTACTTCTTTTTATCTGTTCTAACCCAACTGGCTTTCGAGCAAGGGAAACCTTTACCTTTACTGACTCTGCATAGGGTCAGGTTGCATGATTATAGTCCTATGTAAATTTACCCGAGAAAGTCACATTGGACAAAATGGGCCTCAATTCAAAGGTAACCAGCTTCGGAGTGAGGTTGCAAGGCTACAGTCCTGTGCCGACTTCATTCCGTCTCCCTCTTTTCCTAACAGAGCTTCCAGTTCCCAGCGCGATCGTAACAGCATAACGGAACCTGACATGGCCTTTCTGAAAGATGTCAAGGAACTGATGCAGGGCATCTCGGAGACCACCAAGAAAGCAGCTGCTTTGCAGACACTTTGGGAGGAAAGATCAAAGCTCTTGGGTAAGAAAACCTCCTTTCTGATCCGTACGGTCCTCAAGGA